CCATTCTGAACGACACATCTCACACTATACCGTTCAATGACATAGGTGGCGTTGCTGTCGCCTGACTTCCCTCCTCGTCTGCGACCCCGTTGCCGGACACGATTCGCCCGAAACTCATCGAACGCCCGACTCGTTGCGTGCTGCAAGCACGTTGCCATTAGCCGCTCGTCACCAAGTCAACGACTGTGCGCACGGCAGACGACTCATGCGCACACCGGGTTCCTATTGCAGATGTGGACGCGGCGTAAATGGCAGCCGGACTGTTAGCCCATCTCGACTTTGACGGCGTCACCGGGTAGGAGGAAGTTTAGCGCCGCCAGCCACGAGCGAGTGCTTGGCTACGCGAGCGAAGGGCGAGCTCGCCAGAGGAGTGATGGCGGCCCAGCGTGCGCGCGCCGGACAGCGACGCGCCGAACGCACGCGCCTGATTCACGCGTGTGCCGTTCGCTCTGCCGTGAACGCCCGTCACGATCTCACCGACAGTCATCGTCATCGTCGTCGTCGTTCGCCGCCCCGATGCGAGCATGACGTCACGGGCTCGGCATTGTGCGGGAAGCGGTTCGTTCTCGCGACTTCCGCGCCGTGATAGCAGACGGCTCGCTTACCGTCGAAATAATATTCCGGCCGCCGAAATGACGTGTTTAACGGCCCCAAGATCATGTGCTCTTCGGGTTGGAAAATGTTGTTGATGGCGATAGTGATCACACGCGAGTTCGTTCTCACGACCCGACACAGAGCGGGGTGTTACACGCTTACACATCGGGGGGCGTCAATCCACGAGGCTCTGCTACGCTACGCACCACAGCACGATGACGGCGCATGGCAGACGCTGGCTATGCGAACGTCGTCACAGCACCGCCATGCCGCATCCATTGTTAATAAGAAGCTGTGGGCAATCGACTGCACCGCACGCGAGTTCGCGCGTTTCTTTTGCATGCGTGCACGTGTATGGCAGTGCGAGGTGGGGACACAAAAAGTGTATTTAGTGCCAGTCACAAATTCGAATTAATTGTCTCATCATATATTCTATTAGTGACTGATCATATTAATTCCATTTTTAGTGACAGATCCATTAAAATCAACGAATCAGATACAACTTAATTTTTCTCAGCCAATCATAGGCATGGAATTATTTTGACAAACACTAAATTGATTTAGTGATTGACACAAAACGATTTAGTGACAGTCACTAAATACCATTTGTGTTCCCACCTTCGCGCCTTACACCACCACCACTAGCCTAACATACACCTGCCATACACGTGAGTAATATGTTATGTCATGTGTGTGTGTGAGTGTAGTGTGTGTGTGTTGTGTGTGTGAGTTCACGTGCCAGTGAGTGCGCTGCTTGCGTGCGTGTCGTGTGTACGTGCCCGTTGCGCGCCCGCGCTTCCTCCCGCGCGCGCGGCGTGTGGTTGTGTGTGTGTGTGTGTGCGGCGTGCGTGTGTCTAATACATTTAAATACAATTTCTCTTTCTCTCTTCTATTTGAATGAAAAACTGACACCGTACAGTCATATATATTATATCATACTTGGAATAAAATATATATATATATATATATAGATATTAGATATTAGATATAGATATCGTTGAGTTAATAATAACGTACGGCGTATGAGTTAACAAGAGCCGCAGAGCGTCTGGGCTCATCTGAGGTTGTCTGCTACGATTATAAACGTAAAATTTCAGTTTCGTGCGTAGTACCACATTTGTTAGGCGTCAGATATGCCAGACACGCATGTTCGCGTACACATTCATTGTTAGGACACGCCCACTATCTGCAGATGGGAGGCGGTAGGGGGAGGGTGGGTCGGGCTGGGGAAGGGCGGCGGCGGCGAGGGGGTGGCGCGCAGGGGGGAAGGGGACGGCGTGGGGCGTGAGGGGGCTCTAATGCAAAAGCCAGTCACTCAATTTGTTAACAGTCAACAAATCCATGCTTAAACCCTCCTCTTGAGGGTTCAAAAAAGGTTATCAGACACTTCAAGACGGAGGGTTAAACATGGATTTGTTGACTCCGTTAACAAAGCGAGTGAACTGCTTTTTGCTATTTAAGAGCCCTTCCCCCCCACCCGCCCCCCTTCCTCTCCCCCGCCCTCACTCCCCCTACCCTCCCCCACCCTCGCACGTCAGTGGAAAGCGCACATCTTCATGGTCCTTTCAATAAAAGACCATAAAAAATAGTAGGTCACCCACTGCAAACAAAAAGTTTTTCAATCCTCCACGTCACACCAGTGTCCTCAGAAAATGGTCTAAAATCTGCCTGCGTGCCCCCATCTGACCTTTGACCTGTGACTCAATTTTCGGCCACTAGTGCATGCTTTTCCATACCATGATGCTATACACCGACTATCACGAGCTAGGTCGAGCCGTTTAGCATTTGCTTGCCGCAATTCTGCATTTCCCTCCCTATACTTAAGTTAGGCAGGGGAATGTTCCTCCTTCTTTTACACCTCTTGACCTTTGACTTTGACCCCAGGCTTCGACAATCCCAACTCGTTCGGATACCCCACGTCCCGAATATCGTGACCGTACGTCGCAGCCGTTTAGATTTCTGCCCAACTGTTGACGACGCACGGACGGACGGGTACGACGGACGCACGGACGGACGACGGACGGACGCACGACGCGACGGACGGACGGACGCAGGACGCACGAACGGACGGACGCACCGACGGACGATCATGCGATTCTACAAGCTGCATCTGACTATGTCAGATGAGCTAATAAACCGCTTGGCCTCGCCAGAGCGACGGTCAAGAACGCTGAAAACCATGTCGTGCAAAGTACGATTTATGCAAAACGGCAAGGCAAATCTACGCGCTGTTTGCTAAATACTACCGGAAGATAGAATTTAAGGGCACCACGTGACGAAAGAAAGCTCATGTTTGGTATACATTTGTATTTTTATTCACATAGAACTCGTACGACAAAAATGTTACGTGAAATCAGCACCAAATCCTCCTCAGTGCTTACTCCTTTGTCATTATTAACTCCTGATATATATTATATATATAATTTAATTAATTAGTTATATTCAATATTTATAGTATATATATAATTACTTGTAGCCCTCCAGCCTGTGTTCAAATCATCGGTGTCGCTTCATGAAGAAAGCAGTTTTACTAAAAACAGTAATCCATACAACACTTATACGTCTGCGGAAACGTGTTTAATCGTTAGTTCATGTTGTCGTTTTGTAAAAATATTACGCAACTCTGACTGCCTAAAATTATGTTAGCCATGTTGCGAATTGGCAAGCGCGATGGAATTAGCAAATTGCGAAATGCATGACATGTCCGCGTGCCAAAGGTTCGTGTGAAGTATCTATACTTTGATTATATTATCACTTATTACGAGTAAAAATGTTGCGTACGCGCCGAAACGTGTTTTTGGGTGGTTGTTATATCATGTTCCTTCAGGTCTGCTGCATTGGGACGCCATCTACTGGCAAATACACCAATTCTGCTAACCTCGAGGTTGAGCGTAAACCGAGTAGTAGTGTATAAAAGCGCATGTCTGATACAAGCAAATTTAACACAGCTCCGTGGCATAGACCGGCTCCCTATCTTTTCGCATCGTTCTAGATCTATTACCTCATTTTAACGGAGTATAGAGACAAGTGCTACACCACCGGGCGCATTTGTCACAAAAATATGTGGAAAATCCAACTCAGCTCTACTCTCGTAAACTTCAACAACACACGGCATCTACAACATTCGCGACATCTATGAATAATTAACAATTAATATGACTAATTAAAGTTATATGGAGGGATCGTATGCATTCAACCACGACTGAAATCGTGTGATATGCTATACGTGCTACTGAATTTGTATGACATATATAAATGAACACGTCGGTGTTAGAAAATATCCGTTATTTCAATGTTAACTATGTGTAAATGGTTACAAGCATATTTTTTTAAATCAACAAAACATCAACCGGTAACTATGGTATAAGTTTTCTATTTCATTTACAGCTAACCCATATAAATTCGATTTGCTTGTTTCTCTCCATCTAAATTATTTGCGCCCTCTGTCAATACAATTTTCATCCCAACTCACGTCCTCGTTTTCATTGCTGTATCCCTCGCTACTTCCCTCTGTATCCTTCATACTCGATGACAAACATCAAAATTACAAATAATAACAGTGTATACGTTGTTTTATTAGATCAGTGTTTAAACATATAAGGTTTTTCACAAATGGTATTAGTTACATTTTAGACACAAGTTAATGATTGAATTAGTATGACATATATGAAAAAATACGCCTGTGTTAGAAATTATTATAAGCCGTTATTTAAATGTTAATTATGTGTAAATGTTTACACACATATATTTTTATATTAATAAAACATCAACACTTTGTGCATTTCTCGCATCTCGCTATCTCATTTGCTCTGCCTCTCTCCTTCCTCACTCACTCTGTCAGTAGAATTATCATTCCAAAACACGTCCTCGTTTTTATTGTTCTAATCCTCACTATTTCCCTGTATATCCGTCATATATCATACTCGATGACAAACATCAAAATTGGAACTAATAATACAGGCTATACGTTGTTTTATTAGAACATTGTTCAAACATATGGTTATACACAAATGGTATTAGTTAGATTTGTCGATGTGTGCGGTGCGCTCGCGTGTTCACAGAGCCAAGCTGCTCTTACATGTGGGTCTCAAGGTTCGAGATGTACTTTCTGCTTATATCTCTCATGTGCGATCATAGGGTGTCTTCAGAGGTCTTCACGTGTCTTCAGGTGTCAGAGGTCTTCGGGTCTTCAATAGGGCGTCTTCAGAGCGAAAGCGTAACTTTTAATGTTACATTTGAATGATTGTTTCCTTCGTGTGGATTATCATGTGTGTTTTTACATGACTCAGACAGGAGAAGGCAGCATCACACAGATCACACTTATATGGTTACTATCCTGTGTGCGTTTTCATGTGTTTCTTCATATTACCCAGAATGGAGAATGCGGCTTCACACAGCTCGCACTTATACGGTTTCTCTCCTGTGTGCGTTCTCATGTGTGTCTTCACATTACTCAGAATGGAGAATGCGGCTTCACACAGATCGCACTTATACGGTTTCTCTTGAGTGTGAGTTCTCATGTGTGTCTTCACACTACCCAGAGTGGAGAATGCGGATTCACACAGTTCGCACTTATACGGTTTCTCTCCCGTGTGCGTTCTCATGTGTATCTTCACATGATTCGACTGTGAGAAGGCAGCGTCACACAGATCGCACTTATACGGTTTTTCTCCCGTGTGCATTCTCATGTGTTTCTTCATATTACCCAGAATGGAGAATGTGGCTTCACACAGCTCGCACCTATACGGTTTCTCTCCCGTGTGAGTTCTCATGTGTGTCTTCACATGATTCAGACAGGCGAAGGCAGCATTACACAAATCGCACTTATATGGTTTCTCTCCAGTGTGAGTTTTCATATGTGTCTTCACAGCCCCTACCTGCGAGAATGCAGCATTACACAGATCGCACTTATACGGTTTCTCTCCCGTGTGAGTTCTCATGTGTATCTTCACAGCACCTGATTGTGTGAACGTAGCATCACACAGCTCGCACTTATACGGTTTCTCTCGTGTATGAGTTCTCATGTGCATCTTCACATGACTCGTCGTTGAAAAGGTAGCATCACACAGATCGCACTTATACGGTTTCTCTCTTGTATGCGTTCTCATGTGTGTCTTTACACTACTTGCCTTTGAGAAGGCAGCATCACACAGATCACACTTATACGGTTTTTCTCCCGTGTGAGTTCTCATGTGTATCTTCACATCACCTGACTGCGAGAAGGTAGCATCACACATTTCGCACTTATACGGTTTCTCTCTTGTATGAGTTCTCAGGTGTATCTTCACATGACTCGTCCTTGAGAATGCAGCATCACACAGATCGCACTTATACGGTTTCTCTTTTGTATGAGTTCTCATGTGTTTCTTTACAGTACTTGAATATGAGAAGACAGCATCACACAGATCACACTTATACGGTTTCTCTCCCGTGTGAGTTCTCATGTGTATCTTCACACTACCTGATTCTGAGAAAGCAGCATCACACAGATCGCACTTATACGGTTTCTCTCCCGTGTGCGTTCTCATGTGTTTCTTCATATTGCCCAGAATGGAGAATGCGGCTTCACACTGCTCGCACTTATACGGTTTCTCTCCCGTGTGAGTTCTCATGTGTATCTTCACACTACTCAGATTGGAGAAGACAGTATCACACAGTTTGCACTCATATGGTTTTTCCCCGGAATTAATTCTCACATATTCCATCGTGTTTCAGGGAAAGCTGACACGTTCTGATCACAGACGTCAAGTATCTACCCTGTCCGGTGCTCAAGTTACGTCCTCGTATTTTGCTTCGGAGACGGCCTCGTCACGCTAACACTCGTAGAATTAACGTCCTATCTAGGTTCTCCTCAAAATTGCTAGAGAAAATACAAATAACTCTGTATTAAAAACCGCATCACAGGGGTAGAAATTAACTTTTGAACGCGGGAGTCCACTGGATTTCCTACCCTCCAAGGGAGTCCGCAGTCTGGAGTTTAAAATTAAAGATATTAACAATAACGCATGTGCTTATTTTTAAGATGTGATTGCAGGTTTGCTGAAAAATACGGTAATTACGCGAGACCGTGCTCTGGAACGAACTAGTTAGTATGGCAGAATTGCGGACTCCTGCATATGTCAAATCAGGGAGTCTGACAGTAAATCAGGAAGTATTTGACTCCGGACTCCCGTTAATTTCGCACCCTGAAGTTAACATATGTTTGTAACGTGTTATGTAATATATAATTTAGAATTTAGATATAAAGTAAAGATATAGAAGTACACAACGAAATGTGTTCAACAAACAGATCATATATTCGCCAAAGTCTATAACCAAAACTCCACAGAGCCACGTACGCACACACGTAATAATTTCACCCTTTTAATAAATTATTTATCTTTGTAATAAAATATCCAGTCGCAAACACTTGCCACAGCGACATGCCACTCTTTTATTGGAATTGTCTGAAGTTTGATACCAGGGTTCGACATTATAACGCTATAGTCCGTTAGTCAGAGACTAGTAAAAAATAAGAAGGACTAGTAAATGCCCCATAGCCGTTAGTCCTGCGGACTAGTTATTTTCCCCGTCCTTCACCGTCCTAATTTACCATCCTCCCATCGATTTTACTATATAGTTCCTTGTGGCAGCTTCGATCTCTCAACCAAGATCCAAAGAGCTTTATATAACTCTTTGCCATCAACAAGTTTTCCCTGTTAGACGCGCGCCTAGACGCGCTAGACGCTACTTAGACGCGCTAGACGCTACTTAGACGCGCTAGTAGACGCTAGGACGCTCTGCACGCTAGACCCGATGACAGTACAAACATTGTTAAACAATGAGGCCACGAACCTGTTTACCTAGCTGTTGACATAGCACAAACGGTCGGATTGTATAAATGACACAATTAACTAATCAGTTATACGCTCTCATAGCGAAGTATAGTACTAGCTGTAGACATAGAACAAACGGTCGGATTGTATAAATGACACAATTAACTAATCAGTTATACGCTCTCATAGCGAAGTATAGTACTAGCTGTAGACATAGAACAAACGGTCGGATTGTATAAATGACACAATTAACTAATCAGTTATACGCTCTCATAGCGAAGTATAGTACTAGCTGTAGACATAGAACAAACGGTCGGATTGTATAAATGACACAATTAACTAA